GCAAATTCTACTTAAAACCGCTTGTAAAACACATTTTCCGCGCTGCGCGGCCACATGTGGGTATTACTGCGAGTTGTAAGCTCTGATTGGTTCACCCCCGAAAACCTGCGCTCTGATTGGTTTATCAGCTGTGCATATTTACGTATTACTAGAAAAAATGGCGCGAGATTTCTCACGTGGTTGAGGTAATGTTCTGCTGGCCAAAATAGATCTCGTTTTTCAGCGGTAAAAATGAAATCCAGCTCTTCTGAATTCGAAGACAACATGGAGTTTATTTTCGCGGCACGCCGTGCCCTTCCCATGCCAACAGCACAGCTATTTTTCACGTGAGTAGCCCACCAAATATCAAAATTTCCTGCCGCCGCCTCTGCTAGAATTTGCCTGAATTCCTATCACCTCAACCACCAAGTAAAACGCTTGTCAACAAAAAGGAAGGGTCTTACGTGCAATATCAGACATGGTGCAATGATAAGTTGAAGTCAGTTGAAAAGACGAAGCTCGGAGGTCAGACTCACAGTGAGGTCAGACGGAAGCAAATTCGACATATCCACCAACCCAGCGGTTGTTTGCGACACAGCCGCAGTGGTGGAAACCACAGACGTGACTGGAGTAGTCATGTCTAAGAACTCTCACCAAAAAGGCAAAAATGCTCAAGAAAAAGCAAGAAAATTTCGAGAGCGAAAAATTGTACCTACCGCCTTAGCGAGCAACAATCATGCAAAATATGGCCGCTTGGACTAAGACAATTTAAATCCCCCGGATGTTGATGAGTTGACCAATCAGTGCGCAGCTCTGGGGTCATGACCTGCGAACTGGACCTTGGGTACTAGGCCATGTTGATTTGATTATATGGATGACATCCTCTGGGAACCCTAAAACTGATGCGCGCGTGAGAATAAAAAAAAGTTTTGCAAAAAAAAAAAAGTTGCTTTCACTATGAAATCTACGTGGTCATGAAGGTTGAACAAATGGCACAGAATATGTTATGGCGAATAATCTACTCTTCGAATTAATTTCTTTACATTTTTGTATTTTTTCCTTTGATTTTGGCATTCTACGACATTGGTATCGTTTCTAAATGTTTTCCTTACAACTTTCGGTATATTTTTGCTCATTTAGCAACTGTTTTGCACGATTTACAGTATGGTTGAAAACTTTTTTTTTTTGGAAACGGCCGAAAATTCATGCGCGCGCGGATGTCATCCATATAATCAAATCAACATGGCCTTAGTTTAGTTAGTCAGTTACTTTGTAAGCAGAATAATTATAAAAGTTTATGAAATTTTTTCAAGTTGATAAACTTTTTCAAGCTTTTGGGAGGTCTTAAATGGTTTTTAACGTACAGTTGAAAAGTGTGAAGTGTAAAATGATAATGTCCAAATCAAAAATTCACCCAGAGCCTACCATGGATTGGTAACCATTGTGTGGTAACCTTGGTAACATGTATGCAGCCATACTCCTAAAAGAAAGTAATCTAGAAACTCTTTTCAGGTGAAAAGTTAAGTGAGACAAAACATAGTTTTAACTAGAACAATTTCTATTTCACCACACTGAATGTAACATGTTATGTTCTTTATGTACGCACTAAGCTCTCTTGGAAATCAACTTTTACAATACAAGATTGTTTTATGAAATAAATACACAGATGATATGTACGGTATTTACAGGTTCATTGTACAAGGGAACTTCCCCTAGCTCTTTTCAGCAAGCACAATGAAAAGTGGACCAAGGCATAATGTCCCATCCTAAGGACGCAGCGACCCTTTCCAGTAGTGTGCAAGTTGGGTGAGCGACAACAGCCGGGATTCGAACCCCTGAACTGTAGATCCAGAGCCCGGTCACATAATACTAGGCATGCTACTTAATTTTTTCAACCCAATGTGAATAAGATAAAAATCTTATGAGTGTAAGATTGTTTAATTTTTCAATACACTGCATCATTTCAGCTGAGCAGAACACTTTTTTTTTCAGTATTGTTGCAAGGAATCATTTTGTTGTTGCTGCAATAATACTGATGTGCCATTTCATTTTACTTGTAGTTAATGTCTATGGAATAGTTATTTTTTACTGAACCGTGAGTGCTTACATGTATGTACAGTGCTTCAGTTGTTGTCAGCATTGGTAGGAGGTCCAATGAACTTGAAAGAGAAATAAATATTGCTGCAGTTTCAATGCTCTTACTAGTACTTGACTCAGTAAACCTTAAAGTTGTGAATCATTGATATTTCTTCTGTGACTCTATTCGGACTATTGGGTGATTCACATTTTGCCATTTCCATGAACTTAAATCATTTCACATTCTCTTGATCATTCTGCATGTTATAAAGAATATACAGTCACATTATTAACCCTTTAATTGTTGCAAGTCAACTTCATCTAATTTAGTCAGTAAAGTTTTTACATTGCTTCTTAATGGTGCTTAATATTATTATTAATTAATATATAATACAACATTGATTTTCAACCAGCTTAAGTCACTCTATTATTAATTGGTGACAACAAGGAGCAAGTCTGTACTCCATTTCTGACATACACAGTTTCAGGAGTCCGAGTGAAGCGTACTACTAGTCAGACTCAAGTTTTGCTCCTAATCCTCTGCTTTTGACCTCTGCTGAATTTGTACTTGAAAATGTCTGAGAATCACAGAAATGTGTTGGTGTGGCTCTAATATTTTGGAAAGATGGTTACAAAGCCATACCGATTTGACACCACAAGCTGCCCCTCCCCACCTGTAGCAACTTGCATGGGTAGTTTAATGTAAGCTATGGTGTGGATGTGCTCTCCCTCAGCTGTGAACATCTCCAACTGACTGTTCCAAAAATCAGCCACGATCACACGCCCCAAACTGTCCACACAGATTCCTGAGGGGTTATAAAGATTCCCTGGTTTCCTACCTTTGCTGCCAAAACTGGACAGGTAGACTCCGTTCTTGTCATACTTTAGAATACGAGAGTTTGAATGGTCTGCGACGAAGATGTTCCCTTTCTGGTCCACAGTAACTAGCTGTGGGAAGCGTCCACCCTCTGATCCAAACGTGCTTACATTACACGTTGCCGACTCCTGTGTGTAAGTAGGACTAAACCATGCAACCTTTACTGGATCCTGCCTGTGTCCTAATATTGCCAGAGTGAGTATGATTCTGTCAGAAAGCTTGTGCCAGGCAATCCCATAGACCATTTTGTATTTGATACTGCATGTAAACTTAGCAAGGTCATGTCCCTCTTTGCTGTACTGTCGGATGTCAAATTTGGAACCTCTGTCCAATACGACCCACAGGGTGTCGTTGTGGCCCATGCACACGGCACTTGGTTCCATGTTTCCTAAGGAGAAACTGCGAAGGAAACCTCCCTTCATGCTGAAGACCTGGATTGTGTAGTCGGGCTCGTCAGTCACAAATATCTCGTTAGTCGAGGACACGGCTAGTCTGCCCACCCATGCACGCTCCCTGGTGCCTTTCAAACCAAAGGTGATATTCTTTTTCACTTCTGCTGGTAAAACAGAGTAAACACTTAGTGGGCACCACATTTAAGACTGTAATATATTATTAGATATATGTAGGTAGGCAGATCGATCGATAAATAGATAGATAGATAGATAGATAGATAGATAGATAGATAGATAGATAGATAGAGATAGATAGATAGATAGATAGATAGAGATAGAGGGATAGATTATAAGATATATATAGATTGAGATAGATACTATTAAGTAGATTAGATAGATATACAGTAGATAAATACTTGTAGATACTATTGCATGACTATTTTCACAGTTAAACACTTCAAAATTAGAAGTCAGAATTTTTAGATAGTATTGTTTTGAGATGAAGATATGTTAGTCTCTCATACTATGAGAAACAATTAATTTACCATGACTGAAGAAGACATTTTAAAACTTAGACTGTTAATTGGCCACAGTTGTTTAGATACAGGTCCTGAACCTTAACCACTGTACCTGTACCTGATCATGCTTAAGGCACACACTACTACCAGAAGAAGAGAAGTAGATATTTGTACCCACCTTCACAGTGGTACGTTACTTCCAGGTACTTCTTTATTCTCGGACAGTGTTTAGGAGATATACGGTAAAGAATGCGTTTCATAATATCACACTGCTGAAACCCATGACATATGTCCCTTACGGCGTCGGAGAGTCTTTTTCTGGTGAGTTTTCGTCTGTTACAAAATACGAGAAGTAGGTTAAAACCAGTTATTGTTGTCCACCACACTGCTGGAACCCCTGACATACAGTGTAGCTCCCTTACGTAGGACAGGATCAACATTTGCAAAATAACCTTCAGTTGTATTGTAATTGAATTAAGCTAATTTTTATCAAATAGACCTGTATGGATAGCTTAAGGGTTATGTAAAAATCATGATTAGACAGCTGTGAATTTTACAAATGCCAAAAACACTTTTCTGCAGCATCTATGATACAAAAAGTCTCAACTACAACATTGTCATACATTCTACATGTACAACTGCTATACACATTAAATACTAAGAGAAAAATTACAACACAAACATTTGATATAAATTACAGTCAGGCATGTAGTTAAGAGGAAATGAACAGTCAGTTGAATATTTAGCAAAAGTCCTGAGTTACTCAACCCAACGAAGAAAGAATATCAGAATGATGTGTTTTGTCACGACTTAAGATTATAGTTGCCATCAAGCTTCTAGAGGACGTAGCCTGGCTAAATCACACTCCTGGTGGCCAGCCCACCCAACAGTTGCTGCCAGTGAGTAAGTTAGAGATTGTGTGAACACAGGCTACTACTAGTGGAGTCAGAGGGCTGCTAGGTATAGGGGTGGGATTAGATAGACTCATAGGTTTTGGTACACCTACATGGGATTGGCATCATCTTGACACGTGTCACAAGACTTGCGCGTACATCCACAGCGAGGACCGTTTTCCCTCCGACCGTAGAAGGAACTGTCGATCACGATCAGCTCATTCGCTGCACAAGGTCTCCATGTGTCAATGTCCTTTTGACAGAACGTTTCAGTATACTTAGTCTTACTTTTGTAGGTGGGTAGGTTGGTACCATCAGTGGTCCCAATGCTGGGTGGGGTGGTACCATCAGTGGTCCCAATGCTGGGTGGGGTGGTACCATCAGTGGTCCCAAGGCTGGGTGCGGTAGTACCATCAGTGGTTCCAAGGTTGGGTGGGTTGGTACCATTGATACCACCAAGGCTGGGCGGGTTGGTACCATCAGTGGTCCCAAGGTTGGGTGGGTTGGTACCATTGATACCACCAAAGCAGTTAGGGTTGGTACCATTGATATAACCACCAAGGCTGGGTGGGTTGGTACCGTCAGTGCTCCTGATGGTAGCTATATGTATCAGTTCTGTTGCATTCAGTGTACTTAAAGTCTTAACTTCTTCCATGGTCTGAAAAAGCAAGAAGAAATGTAAATTTAACATTTGAACCTATTGTGCACCTACTGTACAGTATATTCTGGACATTTGATGTCAAGAAAAATATTATCACGAAATATTTGATGTATCACTAAAGTTATAAAGCCTGGACAGAATTTCATTTTGAAGAAATGAATAGAGGCAGTATCTTAAAGGGTTTTTTTAATTATGATTTTCTACCTAATTTTATGTTGTGCCCCCAAACTTTTTTGTGCACCTACAATTTTAGGTTCGGTGCCCCAGTGCACCAGTCAAGTATTACCAAATATGAATTTCGAGCCCTGAAATTTTCTTTGGTTTGTTGTTCGGTATTGGTTCTTGGAATCACCCGTTCTTTTTTTTTCTGATTAGGCCACACCAATTTAATTTCTTGGTTAACGGATTTTTCTAGAAAAATAATGGAGAGGGCGGGCGAAAAAAAATAAAAAATAAAAACAGGCCTAGGCATCCTATTATGGCCCAAAATAGTATGATAGCGGAGGAGCCATGAAGCCAACACACCAGGCTGGTTCAAAATTTAAACAATTAATTTTGAACTTTTAGTGATACCACTGCATTGAAAGATGGAAGAACTGTAACAACTAGGAAGAAAAGGACTGTTTTCAACTGTTCAGGGCAAAATATGAGCATTTTGCAGATGATTCTGAATTTCTATTTTTATTTGCAAATAAGAAAAAAATGAAGCGGGCGAATCCGTTAACCAAGAAATTAAATTGGTGTGGCCTTAGAAAAGATTGGAAAAAAAGTACAGCTTCAGAATCACCTGCAAAATGCAATATTTTGGCCAAAAAAATTAAAGATAGCTCCTTGTCTTCCTAATTCTTAACGTTTTTCCATCTATCAAAGCATTGATTTTATAAAAAGTTAAAATTCATTGTTTTTTTTAGATTATAAGCTGGCCTATGTTAACGTTGATGTCATGGCTATCCTAGCTTTTCAAGCAATCAGAGGATGCATAAGTCTGTTTATATAAATTATTTTTTTTGCCGTGTCACTTCAATATTTTCTGAAGATCCAAGAACCAACAAATCAAATTGGTGTGGCCTACACTTAAGGTGTAAAATTGAGCAAACAAAGATGTTGACCTTACCTCGTACAAAATACTTTTCTGAAAAAGGTTGCCCAGTAGGCAACCTATGGCAAAAATTAGGTTGCCCATCAGAATTTTAGGTTGCCCCACCTATAAGTTACTACTTTCCTCAAATTAAGTAACTTACATACTTAATTATATAAGCCTTGGACAATATTTCTAACAGCCTTTCTTGTACTAGTAATAGCCAGTAATATCTAAAATTAAAAAGCATCTGCCGGATACAGTGGTGCAAGCCAAGTGGGCATGATTGGGCATTCTTAAAATTCAGGTAGCACACTGGTCTACCTAGGTTCAAAAATAGGTTGCCCCAAGTAAAATTTGGTTGCCCGGGGCAAATGGGCAACCAGGTATTTTGCACGCTGTAATACCTTTTGGATGCCTGGGGTGTTGTGATATACTCCTATGATGACTCCCGAGATGATTGCTCCCAGAAGCAGGACAACCACCAAACCAATGAGAAAGCATTTTCGATTCACTGCAAAACAACCTTTTCAAATTTTTTAAAAGCAGTTTTTCATAGAAAAGACATATTAATTGCACAGGCAGAGCAATCCAATTGGTAACCAGGAAAATAAAATGCAATTGAAGAAGAATTGCATAGGATCCATATAGAAACATAACAGTAATGAATGAATCAGGGCTCGAAAGTCATTTTTGGGAATAGGTGCACTGGTAAACCCAACCTAAAACATTGGGTGCACACAAAAAATTTTGGGTTCACCGTATAAAATGAAAGAAGTAAAATGTCAGCAAAAACTAATTAGGTTTCATTTCCAAATAAAAGTACCACAAAAAAGTTGTTATTTTTCTGACACTTAGATGTTAAGAGTAATATTACATTTAACATCAGTATAAACCTATAAAAATATTTGGGAGCACTGGCGCACCCACAGAAAAAAATGCGGGTGCACAGCTCCACATTTGGGATCACTAAGGTGCATCGAGCCCTGTGAACAATTAACTAATCATTGATCATAGGAATTTTTTTTCTCATATAAAACAATATAATAACTAATATACTGCAAAACACATAATGCTCTAAATAAGGCCATAGCAAGTAAATTTCATGGATGACATCCGCCGATTTGCAGATTCCAAATCTAATGTAATTCTTAAACAAGATTCTTGTTATATGTACTTGTATAAACATTTTGGAGCCCTCTGCACATAAAAAATTGCTTCCCGAATACTGTAGGATTTAGACAAATTATTACAGATTATGTCACAAGACTGACAAGTTACAACAAAATGTATAAGTTCGCGGTAAGTAATTTCTATGGATCACATCAGTGCGTGCAATAATTTTGGCCTAATTTTGAAGAACAAAAAAAAATTGTTTTGCCCTCTGACAGTGGCCAACATCCTGAAAATAGGCAGATCTGTTGTAAATGCCTATTGGTTCAGAGACCATCAGGGATCCAGCAAACTAGAGGCACATATATGTTGTTGTAACTTGTCAGTCTTGTGACATAATCTGTAATAATTTGTCTAAATCCTACAGTATTCGGGAAGCAATTTTTTATGTGCAGAGGGCTCCAAAATGTTTATACAAGTACATATTTTAATAACAAGAATCTTGTTTAAGAATTACATTAGATTTGGAATCTGCAAATCGGCGGATGTCATCATCAAACGTGAACCATTAGGCCACACCAATTTAATTTCTTGGTTAACGGATTTTTCTAGAAAAATAATGGAGCGGGCGGGCCAAAAATAAATAAAAATAAAAACAGGCCTAGGCATCGTATTATGGCCCAAAATGGTACGATAGTCAACACACCAGGTTCAAAATTTAAGAAATGAATTTTGAACTTTTAATTGAATTGCATTGAAAGATGGAATAACTGTAACAACTAGGATGAAAAGGTCTGTTTTCAACTGTTCAGGGCAAAATATGAGCATTTTGCAGTTGATTCTGGATTTTTATATTTATTTGCAAATCTGAAAAAAATGAAGCGGCGAATCCGTTAACCAAGAAATTAAATTGGTGTGGCCTTATGGTTCGCGTTTGATCGCAAATGTTGACACTGTCGAATGGCGACATGTTCCATCACATCCAAACCAACCCAGTAAAGTAGCTTAAAGACCCATGATGGTACGGCTAAGCCATTTCACTAGAATTTCTAGCTGATTGAGGTCCTCAATACACATCTACAAGGACAGGTAATTCTGTTGAATACAAGAAATTTAAAGATCTGTTTGGTTGTGATATCCTGTTTTGTCACCTTAATTCTTATTTAAGAAGGCTCTGTATGACCTCAAAATTTGAAAATGAAAGAGTCTTGTTTTTTTTAGCGCATTGGGTTTGGTGTCTGCGGAGGATGTCATCCATAAAATTTACTTCCTGTGGCCTAAACAACAAGCTAGACCAAGATGTTTTTAGAGTGTCATGAAATGTCATCTTACCGCAAAGTTTATTGGCCTGTTGGAGGTTTGGTATGTACATCGGATTCGTATGAAGTTCCTTTGCATTTGGAGGATTGCGAGGCTTGTGTGCGTGTTTGGTGGTGTCACGACTGGAGTCATCTGAAGCCTGTTGGCGAACGTTGTTTGCTGCACTGAGACAGCTTTCGTTATCATAGATGTTTGTAACAGCATAAGGTTCCATGTCACCATCACCAGTCGCTTTACTGTCTGCGTTTGCTGGATTGCGAAGCTTTTGTACGTGTTCAGTTTTGTCATTTCTGGATTCATCTGAAGTCTGTTGGCAAACTTTTTTTGTTGTGGTGAGATAGGCTTCGTTCTCCCACATGTTTGTAACAGCATATGGTTCCATGTCACCATCACCAGTCACTTTACTGTTTGCCTTTGAAGCCTGGTGGTGAATGTTTTTTGTTTTGCTGAGATAGGCTTCATGATCGGACATGTCGGCAACAGCGTAAGGTTCCATGTCACCGTCGCCAGTCACTTTACTGTCTGCTTGCATGGCCATCTTACCAGGAAGTTTATTGGCATGTTTGGGGTTTGATCTGTACATGGGATTTTGATGAAGATCTGCTGGAGTTATTGGAGGATTGCAAAGCTTGTGTACGTGTACGGTGGTGTCATGACCAGTGGTGTCATCTGAAGCCTGTTGGCGAATGTTTTTTGTTGCACTGAGATAGGCTTCGTGATCGGACATGTTTGCAACAGCGTAAGGTTCCATGTCACAGTCATCATTCACTGTACTGTCTGCATTTCTGGATTCATCTGAAGCCTGTTGGCGAACTTTTTTTGTAGCGCTGAGATAGGCCATGTGATCGGACATGTTGCAACAGCGTAAGGTTCCATGTCACCATCATCAGTCGCTTTACTGTCTGGTTTGGGTTCTTTGTCACTGTATCTAACAGCGTAAGGTTTGATGTCACCATCATCAGTCACTGTACTGTCTGGTTTGGGTTCTTCCTCAATGTATCTAACAGCGTAAGGTTTACCATGACGTTTATTGGCATGTTTGGGGTTTGATCTGTACATTGGATTTTGAAGAAGATCTGCTGGGTTTATTTGAGGATTGCAAAGCTTGTGTGCATGTACGGTGGTGTCAGGCTGAGATTTGTTAGCCTTTCTGTTGGAGTTGAAATTCATGGTCACTGTACTGTCTGCTTGCTTGACTCGCATTTCTTCTTCACTGTTTCCAGTAGCGTCACCATCATCTGCACCCTCCCCTGAGGCTGTGTACATGGCAGAGTTTTCAGCATGGATCGGATCAGATACAGAATATACATCAGCAACCTCTGGGGTGGGGATATCGTTATTATCTGCCATGAGATAATCCTCATTTGTGCTTGTATGTTCGACTTCATTGCCAGCTACATATGTAGCGTTCAGCCTGTCTTGTCCTTGACTACTGGGAGAGTTTTGGCTACATGTTGACATTCTTGTTGGCTCTGCTGCATTTTCTGTGTGCAGCACATTCTGATCAGAGTGGAGATTATCTTCATTTTGTCTTGGGCTTGTCGGCTCTTCTGCATGGGGCATCGGATTGTTCTTTCCTCTGTTCATTGTGACTCTTTTGGCAAAGGCAGGAGGAGAACAAGATGTTATTTCAGAGTTTTAAGGCGCTAACAATACCACCTACATGACATACACTCAGGTAAAGTGATTTGCAGTTATTACTGATGAAGTCTACCTGCACTCAGGGCCATGTACTGGGTATATGCAGGTTAAAGCAGGTAAAACTGGAGCTGTGCAGGTATTTCTGATCAATGTCTTCCTGCACCTAACCTGCACTGTGGGTCCATGACAAAACCAGCCCAAACACTTAGGGGAAAAGACATTTGACAAGCTGTGGTCAAAGTCCTGAGTGAAAAAAGAACTAACTGATTCAGGCACAGGGCATTTGTTCATCATCCCTGCACATATTTAGATTGTTCAAGAAAATGACCTGTGAGGAGAAAAGCAGGTCTGATCCAGATAATTATGTAAACATTGTATGAGGCAGACTAATTATGAGATTGTGAAGTGTTGGTGTTATACAAACATGTTAACTGTGTACATCTATAAGGAAAATGGTTATATTCACATTACCTATTACACCTCCCTCCAGGACTACCTCAGAGCCCTGCCTCAACTTTCCTGGCTATAGGCTAGGCCACCAATTTAATTGGTTGTTTCTCGGATTGCCCTGTCCATTTTTTTCTGATTTGCAAAAAAAAAAAAAAAATTGTTCTAAATCAACTGCAAACTGCTCAATGGAACACATATTTTGGCCCCAACGGTTGAAGAAAGTCCTTTTCTTCCTAGTTGTTAAAGTTTTTCAATGTACATGTAACAGTGCAATTTTGTTTCATTAAAAGTTCAAAATTTATTGTTTTAATTATAAACCAGCCTGGTATGTTCACTTCATGGCTGATATTGTAACATTTCCGGCTATCATGGGGTGCCTTGGCCTGTTTTTTTGCCCTGTCGCTTCATATTTTTTATGAAAAAATCTGAGAAACAACAAATTAAATTGGTGTGGCTTTAGATAAAGAACAAAACATCTCAGACTGCTGCTTTTAACTTGTTAATGCTAACGTCACAATTTTATATATAATTAACCCGGGGCCCAGCCAGGCAGCTTTTGGGAATGGAAAGTACCATATAAAAGACAACAAAACACACAAAAATGTTTCAAAAGAGAACTATGAGCACTATTTGTGTATATTCTTGACATGAATTGTTAAATTTTTCATGCAAACAGCCAACCAGGATTTTTTTTTGGAAATGTGACCATAAGTTCTAGCATAAGCTAACCTATCATAGCAAATCAGTGTTCCAACAGGATTTCTCTCCATAGCGTTCCTAGTCTAAACCTGCTCTGGGTATTTTAGCAGCAGAAGGTGTAACAGTGCATCTCCGTCCTGCTTGAACATCTGCAAAATTTTAAAGTAAAGATCAAACAAGAGAGCCAGAGGAAAATACAGCTAATGTTATACCTGATAGAAAATTGGCAAAATATTGTGGTCCTGTGTGTGGCTATTTTCCTTTGGTGCTGGTCAAAGTGGCAATTGATAATATCTTCACATAGCTATTCATGGGTGCAATTGATGTTTTAAGCTCAGGAATGTCAAGCCTGTTCTTATACCTTAGCCTAAGGTAGTGTCAAGAATGCTGCCCCCTCTAAATTTGGTATTGTCAAGCTTGAATTTAAATAGGATACTAAACAATACTGGACATGACGTTCAGTCTTCCTACTATGGAACACTTGATTCATAACTCAACACTTACCGTTAAGTGAAGGTTTGCTAAACTGCTATAAAGACCTGGATGATTCAGTTGTCTTGGAGACTGTACCTGGCAAAATTTCTGGTCAGGAGAACCAAGTTTTCTCCAGTCGGTTCTGGGAGTGGTGTGGCACCCACAACTCACTGGTAGACTAATAAGTAGATTAAGAACTGCTGGTAGCGCGATGAAACAATATGTAGTTATTGAACTTTTTTCTTTCATCTCATCTGATCTTCATGAGTTATGAGTTGACTGGATGTTTATTCATTGGTTTTTTTCCATAAGCCAAAACCAATTTACTTTCTTGGTCTTCTGACATTTCTTAGCAGAAATTCAGTAACTACAAATCAAATCAATGTGTAGTACCTCTCCTTGGTGCTCAACTCCTGGTCATACTAAATGAAGTTCCTCATTTTTTAATGTCAAGAACCAGGAAACTGTATTGATGTGGCCTATTCAAAAGTTGTAAAATTTGTGCAGCGTGTCATTCCCTGGTCCAGCTGCTATGTTGGGTGGGATTCTGGCAGCCAATTGCATCATGCTGGTCTGTAATCATACATGTACAAGTATCTTTCATCGTTACCAGGAATTTTACACAAGATTAATTTTATGTCTAGCTTGTGCCATGTTGACTCTGAAATGGAAAGAATATGGACAATTTGCTAAGGTAGCAGTTTGTCACAAAATCTTCATTGGTTTTAGGTTTAGACAGCAGGTAGAAGGTTAAATATGCAGTAATTTGTCCATTTATCAGATCCAAGTTTCCCAGCCCTCTGTTGTCTTCTTTCCTGATACTGATTGATAGATTGATTGATAACATTCAGGCACGTAGCTTAGTCCAGCCAACTGCTGACTAGACTTGTGTCAAGGACATCTGCAGCTGTACATAATCTAAACAAGGATAGTGCGTGTTGCTTTATTCTGACTGCAAATAATCCTATACATTTCTGAAATATGTCAATAGTTCACCTTTGATTTTATCTTCTTCATTTTGTTCCATTCTGCAGTAATCGGCCTGAATATCCAGCACCTGATGCACATCTGCAAGTTTGGACCTACCTACATGGACTCAGACCTCCAGAAGGCCAACGAAACATCACAGAACTGGTTGGAGAGCCAGAGCGACAAACTATGATGATGTAGCTTAGTTAATATCTCTACGTAATAAGATATAAATCATAGTACAGCCAGACTGAAGGCTTTAAGACAATCATCTTTGTTACCTGTGTATTCATGTTTTCTCCAAAGGGTTTTCAGGCAACTGGAGTATTTTCAATCAGTAGCAAGTCTTCCCATGAAAATTAGTGAAATGGAGACAGCACATTTAGTAAATAGATGAGTAAAATCTCAAGAACATCATTGATTGTGGAAATAAAAGTTCATCATGCTTAAGAAGTTCATCTGAACAGTGTGTAAAAATATTACATAAATGATGTCATGATGATGATTAGATACACTTACAAATCCACTTTTAGGAGTGGGAAAACGTGTTCTGCAAGGATGAAACAATTTTTTTTCCTACAAAAGACCGGGAATTTGCTCATATAATTTCTTCCAATTTTCTTAAGTTAAGGCATTTTTTCTTCTTAGGTTTTTTGCCTCTTGACATGTGGTCGAAGTTGTTTAGTCATTTGCATAGTTCTTCTTTCTTCTAGCACTTTTTCTTCAGCTGCATGTTTTTTGGCCTTGTGTCTCCTCAGATGCGCGATTTGTGCTGCAGAGTAGTCACACTGGTCACATCTGTGAGGCTTTACCGCAGCATGTGTGGCCATGTGCTGCTTCAAAGTACCCCTAGCTGCTGCAGCATAACCGCACACCTCACACATGTATGGCCTCTCACCAGTATGTCTAGTCATGTGCATCACCAAGCTTGATCTCTTGGTTGTGGAGTAGCCACATTCCTGACACTGGTGAGGCTTCTCACCGGTGTGTTTAGCCATGTGGTCTTTTAGGGTCGACATTTGAGCGGCCGCGTAGCCGCAAATGTCACACTTATGTGGCTTTTCGCCAGTATGTGTAGCAATGTGCCGCTTCAGTTTGTAGCTGTCCACTGTAGCGTAATCGCAGAGTTCACACTTGTGTGGTTTCTCGCCCGTGTGTTTAGCCAAGTGTCGCTTCAGATCAGCTTGTCTGGCAGAGGAAAAGTCACAGTGTTCGCAGCGGAAGGGTTTCTCCCCAGTGTGGATGGCCATGTGTTTTTTTACAGCAAACGCGTGCACAGATGCATACTCACACTGGTCACACTTGTATGGCTTCTCACCAGAGTGAGTGGCCATGTGGACCTTTAAACTTGACTTGGCAGCGCTGGAATAGCCGCAGAGCTTACACTTGTATGGTTTCTCCCCTGTGTGTTTAGCCATGTGCACCTTTAACAGTCCTTTCTGGCAGGCGGCATAGCTGCAGAGCTCACAACGGTAGGGTTTCTCACCAGTGTGGGTACGCATGTGCAGCTTTAAAGCTTTCTTGGTCACCGAGGAAAAGTCGCACAGGGTACACTTGTGCGGCCTGGTGTTGGTGTGTTTGGCCATTATGTGGTCTTTCAGCTGCCCCGACTGCGCCGCAGCGTAATCACAGTAAGTGCACTGGTAAGCTCTCTCACCCCCATGCACAGTCCTAACATGGATAAAAAGGCCATCTTTCCTTGCTGCAGAAAAGTCGCAGTGGCCGCAGTGGTAGGGTCTCTCACCGGAGTGCATAGATCTCACATGCGCGTTCAGCGAATTAGACTGCGCTGCAGCATAGTCACACTGCGGGCATTTGAACGGTTTCTCACCAGTGTGAGTCCTGATGTGTTTCGTCATCCCAGATTTATTTATCGTTTCGTACTCGCAGTGTGGACAGCTGTGTTTTTTCCGCTCCTTTCTGATCTTAGGCTTCCTTTCTGTGTGTTTATTAAGCATGTGTTTTTTAAAAGCTGTCTTCTGGACCGCGGAGTAGTCGCACATTTCGCATTTGTACGGTTTGTCGGCACTGTGTGTGGCCACGTGCGTTTTCAAAGTCTGCTTTCGATGGGTGGCGTAATTACACAACTCACACTTGTAGGGTTTCTCTCCAGTGTGGCTTCTCATGACGTGGAACTTTAAGCTCTTCTTGGTTACAGCAGAATACTCGCACAGCGCGCACTTGTGCGGTTTGGTGTTGGTGTGTTTCGCCATGACGTGGTCACGAAGTTGAGCATTTTGCGCCGCGGCATAATCACAGTACGTGCACTGGTAAGGTCTCTCGCCGCCATGCACCGCCCTAACGTGGTTAAAAAGGCCGTCTTTTCTCGCCGATGAAAACTCACAGTGGCCGCAGTGGTAGGGTCGCTCACCAGTGTGAGTGGCCATGTGACGCTTCAGTCTCACACTTTGTGAGGTGGTATAGTCGCACTGCTCACATCGAAGTGTTCGGTGGGTCCTCGCATGTTTCTTCATCCTTCTCTTGTGGACTGTCTCGTAGTGACAATGCGGGCAGCTGAGCGTCTTCTGCTTCTCTCCACTTTCACTTGCCCCTGACCATTCCTCACTCTCACTTTCGCCTGACCCATCTCCGGTTTCACTTTCGCTTGACCCTGACCATTCCTCACTCTCAGTTTCGCCTGACCCTTCTCCTGTTTCACTTTCACTAGTTTCACTCCCTCCATTGTCTGTTTTTGTATATTCCTCTTCTGACATGAGATTCCCATCTTCAGTGGATGCCATCATCTAATGGTTGAACAACATGAATTATAGGGTTATCATAAAAGTTCATCTGTGTTGGTAGTACATACATACATGTTGGT